GTATGCACGCAAACTGCTGGATGCGTGCGTGTTTTTCTGTGCGTGCGTACGCGTGTTTGTGTGCTTGTGTGTGGTCGTGCATACGCGTGTTTGTGTGTTTGTGTGGTCGTGCGTACGCGTGTTTGTGTGTTTGTGTGTGGTCGTGCGTGCGCGTGTGTGCGTGCGTGCGTGCGTGCGTACGTGTGTGTTCGCGCGTGCGTACGTGTGTGTTCGCTCTCACCGTGCACGTGAGAGATTCTAGCATCTGCTCGAACATACGTGCTGATACGTGCGCGCGTGCGTGCGTGCGTGTGTTCGCGCGTGCGTACGTGTGTGTTCGCTCTCACCGTGCACGTGAGAGATTCTAGCACCTCCTCGAACATATACGTGCTGATGCGTGCGCGCGTGCGTGCGCGCGTGCGTGCGTGCGTGCGTGCGTCCGTGTGTGTTCGCTCTCATCGTGCGCGTGAGAGATTATAGCATCTGCTCGAACATACGTGCTGATGCATGCGCGCGTGCGTGTGCGTGTGTGTGTTTGCGTGCGTAGGTGCATGCGTGCATGCGTGCGTGCGTAACCCTCTCTGTCGGCGCCGCTGCAGGTATCGTCGAGAAGAATCCGAGGAAATTCAAGATAAGCGAAGCCGACGTGGAGGAGCGGAAGAGTTTCGTCGACCAGACCAGGCTCACCGTCAAAGTAAGTAAGCCACGCGCGCGCACACGTATATGCTCAACACTATGTTAATGGCCTCTTCTATAGAACGGTCTCCTGTATAGAGCTGGTTCATTCTATAGAACGGCCAGCTCTACAGAATGGACCACATCTATAGAATGGACCACCTCTATGGAACGGAACATCTCTATGGAACGGAACATCTCTATAGAATGGACCACCTCTATAGAGCTGGTCCATTCTATATAACGGCCACCTCTATAGAACGGACGCTGGCACAGCGGTTTATGACCGGCACGTTTCGCGTTTCCCTCGAGTGGCAATTATACAGTGCGACCACCTCTACGAGTTACACGGAGGTGATGGCTTCTAGCCAGCTAGCCACTGGTGTGGCGAGGTTTCCTGACTGTAGTGCTAATTAAATGTACAGTAGTTTTACAGCGCAGGAAGTTCTACTTGTAAATATCGATGTGGTACCGTGGGGATGTATGCCATATAGCTGCTTTATTGAAAGCCATAGACCATATATATGTAGGTATATCTATAGACTGAATGTATATATATTAATATACATACTAGTATATATATATACATATATATATT